AGTAGTAGTGGTAGTGGTAGGAGTAGGAGTAGTAGTAGTAGTAGTAGTAGTAGTAGTAGCAGTAGTAGTAGTAGTAGTAGTAGTAGTAGTAGTGGTATGATATGGACCAATGGAATGGTACGTGTTGTCGCTAATCACAATTCTGGTGTTCTTAGCAGGAGTATCAGTGTATTCTAACATACCCCGCAGCCGCGTTCGACTCGTTAAGGTTGCTACATCTCCTCGTGAGCGAAGGAGGAATACACAAACTGTATGGTGTGTCACACATATGACTCATTATGTATGGTAGTGCAAGAACAACAACAAGACTGCTAGTTGTAATAAGAGTACCAGTGGTAAGATTACCAATAATACTAGCAACCACTATCATACCAATAGTGAACCGTCACTTTTCCAATGTCCAAGAGACACCAATTGAGAATACCATGGACGGAAACCCGCCACCTCGATCCATCACTTCAGCGTCACGAGACCACAGCCGACGCTGCAACCGAAGCAAGCAGAACGTGCAGGCAAAACATCTCCTGAAGCTCTTCCGGACAATGATCGCGGCTCGACGGTGGTTTCGGGTGTTGGGTTTGGGAATTAACCCGATTGAGTACAAACGCCTTGTTGCACAAGCAGTACTCTCAAGATCCAAATCGGTGTTTCAAGCGTAGCAACACAGTGTCCGGCCTCAAAGCCTGCAACCCTCATTATCCTCTTGGTTTTGATCAGAGGTCTAGGGAGTTTGGGCTTAGGGTTGCGGCAAAACTGTCCTCCCCTCACAAACACGATTCGGGACTTTAGGGTTAGGTTCAGGGGTTTGTACACCACGGGTGTGGCAACGTCAAAAGCCGCAGCACATGGCGTACTGTAGCAGTAATGGAATCTAGCACTGGTGAATGTCACTACAGATCCAGAAAGAGAGTGTCGGTCTGGGAGGGACATCAAGTGCACTCTGAACAGGGCGGTCCAGAGGAGCGTCCCGACTTCGCATAACCTAGGAGCCTTAATAATCAGAAGAGGGCTTGGGGGGGGTATATCTTATTAGAGTTCTAATAAGGAACCCAAAACCCTATTCTAATTCACAAGGCCCCTATACCCTAAACCCTTATAGCAGCCCTTATAGAGCCCTTTAAGAATCCCTTTAAAGGACTCCCCAAAACCCTATTCTAATTCATAAGGCCCAGCGCCTTGATCCCAGCCCCACCCCAAAGCGTGAAAGTCCTGACCTCAAGACTACTGAGCCAATGCATAGGGCCCTAAACCCTAAACCCTAAACCCTAAAGCCAGCAGGGTGTCCCTCAGTTTGGGTTTAGGGTTGAGGATTTGGGGTCTTAGGGTCCTGGTCCTCGGGTTGAGGGTTTCAGGGGTTTCGGGGCTTTAGGGTTTTAGGGTTTAGGGCTGAGGGGTTTTATGATCATCCTACTATGGTGGGGGCCTTCATAAGTAATTACCTATAAATTCATTGCCTATATTATTTTGGGGCTTCCTTAGTATAACGATGGTATCATGGGCCCCAAAACTCGGTTCTAATTTATTAAGGCCCCCATATTCTTCGGATACGATGCCCTTGATGGTTTAAGGTATAGACTCCTGAACTCAAGGCTAGATACCCATAAACCAGAAAACCCCCAAAGCCCTGTACCCGGCACATCAAGGATCCCAAGAAGGATGTGCTCACTCAGCTCCTGAAAAAGCTCGAGGACAAGCTTTTTGCCTCTCGGTTCCATGCAGGTGTTTGCGTTTTTTGGGCTTAGGGTTCAGGGTTTTTAGGGGCCCCTTCGCCCAAACGGCCGATCTGGCTCTGAGCCCAAAGGCCGGAAGATGAATGCTGAATCACTTTGCATGATAAAGTTGGCTTCCAGGCTGGGGTTTAGGGGTTTAGGGCTTGGGGTTTAGGGTTTAGGGTTTAGATTTGAGGGTTTAGGGTTTAGATTTGAGTCCGGAGTCTGCGCGACGCGACTTGAGCCAATGCGGAGCTCAAATCTGCGTTGTGCTTGGAAGGCTTGGCAGGCTTGGCATCAACGGGCTAAAGTCCTATCTAGTAGTAGGGCGACCCCGAAAAGGGGGGGAACCTTCTTAACCCTACTTGTGGCTCTCTGAAAAAACCACCTTATTGAGACGGTCGACAACCCTCATTCCCCAATTAATCCTAAACGCTAAACCCTAAACCCCTAAACCCCTAAAACCCTACACCCCTAAACCCCTAAACCCTAAACCCCTAAACCCTAAACCCTAAACCCCTAACTCTTGCAAAGGTCCCAGCGGAGAAGGGGAGGCCCAGGGCTACCATCCAGCGGAGTCGTGGGTGGAGGTGAAGCTGGAAACTCCAAGGAACGCCCAAAACGGTTTAGGGTTTAGGGTTTAGGGCAAGTTCCCAGACCCCCGGGAGGATCTAAACAGTAGATCCCCTAATTTGGGACCCTATACTACTAAGGGCTCTGGGTTACAGGAAGAGCTGAACTCTTGTAGGGGCCTCAAGAATGGCCTATACTATTTTGGGGGGGCTCCTTATGATAATTAGGGTCTAACATATCCCAAAACCCTATTCTCACTATTCAGGCCCCTACGATAAACGCCAAACCCTGGCTGAAGGAAACCTCATCGTGCAAGCTACAGAGAAGCATCCAAAACGCCCAAAACCCCTGAATATCAGCCCTGTGGTTGGCGGCTCCATGAAAGGGATAAGTGGTGCAGAATGTGGCTTCGGCTTTAAGGTTTAGGGGTTAGGGTTTAGGGGTCCAAGTGGTGCAGAATGTGGTTTAGGTTGTAAGGTTTAGGGGTTAGGGTTTAGGGGTGGTGCAGAATGTGGTTTCCCGAAAATGAGAGCTGAATGAAGTAGAAATGGCGGTTTCCGAAAATCGGGGACCCTCATATAGTATCCTGAATAGTAGGATCCTTCTTCTACGGACCCCAAAATGAGGTACCCCTTATTTTCGGAAACTCCCAAATCTTTAGCAAGAGCCCTGACAAGATTCTGGGAGACCCATTATTGAATACCCGTCGTAAGCACCTGTACCAAGCCCGAGAAACAAAGCTGTAGTATAGGGGCCTTGATAGTTACCTATACTATTTTTGGGGGTTCCTTATTATAATAATAATATACCCTAAAGCCTTATTCTAATTGTTAAGGCCCCTATATTAGCCCAAACACGAGGTCGATGAGGAGGTCCTTTGCTTGACTATGCGGTCAGCATCAGCTGCGGTCACAGCAAGGCAGGCTTGCGATTCCACCGTATTTGCTGCTTTCCTCGTGTCTGCCTGGTGCTTGGTAGGGAATGGGGGAATGGGTTATAGGGACTACTATAAGGGGCCTTAAGGGACTATCATGGGGATCCATTCCCCCATTCCCTGCTGAGCACCAGACAGGTGTTTGTGCTCTTGAGTTTTGCCTTGACTGCGGCTTGTTCGCTTTTCGTTTTACATAATATCGTTATGAGGGCTCTGATTGAGGCTGGAAGAAGCTAAAAGCAGAGCCACCCGAACTGTAAACCCTGAACCCCGAAACCCTAAAATCCCAAACCCCAAACCATCCTGAGCCCAAAACCCTAAACCCCCAAACCCCCAAACCCTGGACCTTACTGACTACGTCCCCGCATCTTCCACGTACCGCCATCATTGGAGGCTCTGGGAGAGAACAGTGGATGCACCTTGGGAGAAAGTTTGGGGTTCGGGGTTCAGGCTTTAGGGTTTACGCTTTAGGGCCTTTGGGGCTTAAGGTTTGGAGTTGGGGGTTGAGGGTTTCGCCTTTTTTTGGGGTGGTTTAGGGTTTTGGGCTTTGGGTTTTGGGTTTTGGGGGGGAGGGGGTGTTATGCGGGTTTCACCAGGTTTGAGACTAGTTCCTCTTACAGGCGTTTTTATGACCGCTTGCAGGACTTCATAAGGTTGGCCTAGAAATCCATGTCAAAGTAGAAAGCCTTTTACACCCCCGACAATATAGAAGCCTAAACAACTACCAATATTCCTGTAAGGGTTCCTTAGTATGGTTAATACCATAAAGGAGCCCGAAACCCTACTCTAATCAAATTCAGGCCCCTAAACCCTAAAACCCTTATAGTAGCCCGTATAGTAAACCTTTTAAAGGAGCCCTTTGAAGGAACCCTATCTCGAAGCTCAAGCGCACTGAAGGCGAAGTCCTTTGTATCGGGCTGTCGGGGTGGTGGCTCTCCGCTGGGTCGACTAGGATTTGGGGTTTAGGGTTTAGACTACCTCAACCTAACAAAACCTACGTTTTTTGGAGCGTCCCGAAAATTCCATATTTAGGGTTTATGGTAAGAACCCATGAAAAAAGTTGGACAAGTAGGTTTTGGTAGGACCCCAAGACCCCGTTCCAATCATTCAGGCCCTTAGCAGTCCCATACTCTAAACCCTAAGCCCTAAACCCTAACCCCTAAACCCGAAGCCCTAAACCGGAAGCCCTCAACCCTAAGCCCCAAACTCTAAACCCTGAACCGGAAGCCCTCAACCCTACGCCCCAAACTCTAAGCCCTAAGCCCTAAGCTCTGGAGTTTGCGTCCGGCTCGGCAGACTTTAAGCTCTGCCAGGTATCAGGCTTCGAGGTTCAGGGCTTAGGGTTTGGGGTTTAGGCTATGGGGTTTAGGGTTCAGGGCTGAGGGTTTGGGGCTTTGAGTTTGGCTCTTAGGGTTTAGGGTTTAGGGTTTAGGCAGCAACCCAAAGCCCTAAAACCAGTGGGGTCTAGCGTGAAAAATTGCTTTCGGGTTCGGGCCTCAGCTGGGAGCTATCAGGGCTTTGACCCCTCCGCACAAAACTCCACAAATCCCTATGAAAGCCCAATGAGACCTTGCAAAACCCTATACAACGCGATGTACTTCCAACGAAATCCTGTAAACCCCATAGGACCCTAGTGAAAAACAACCCAAAACAAAGCTACAACAAACTCAGCTGCTTTCAGGCCATTGAAAGAGATCCGGGGCCGGGTCACTTCTTAGATGGCGAGATTCCCGAGACGCCTAAAGCGTGTGCTGGGGCCTCAGCTCATGCCAACTGGGCCCGGATTCAGAAACGGCTTCAATGGGTTAGGGCGTTGGGCTTAGGGGTTTAGGGCTTAGGGGTTTACGGCTTGCAGGGGTCTGAAGAATTGGGTTGTACACTAAAAGTTGAATATAGATAGGTCGGGATATCGGTGATATCGAGCAAGTACATCCCCTTCTAGGACCTATAAAGGTCACTGTAACATACAAAGATCCCTAGAATAAGGATTTGGGTTGGGGTTCCAGCTGTAGGACTCAAAGTTTCCGATGTCGCGTGTTAGGGTTTACGGGTTTAGGGTTTAGGGTTAGGGTTTAGGGGTTGGGGTTTAAGGGTTTAAGGGTTAAGGTTTAGGGTTCAAGGGTTCGAGTTTAGGGTTTGCTAGGGTTTGGGGCTCATCGACTCGGGTGTAGGATGGATGCATCACACAAGTCTTGCAGAGAAGAATTGTTGCCTCAGGGCCTGTGGAATGTAGGGCTCCAGGGAACTAGCGCCATGACCTGCTATGAAGGACTCATGCTAGAAATTCATAATGAGCAACTCAACCCTACACCCCTAAACCCTAAACGCTAAACCGCCTTTGGGTTCTGCACGACGGATGGAGGGCATCTATTTGACTTTCTCAGAGAATCACGTCATTCCCCGACCCCAGCAAAGCTCTTTGGGTTCTATAACTAGGCCCTTGCTTTAGGGGCTCCTTTCAGATATGGGAGTTTCCAAAATTAAGGGGTACCATATTTTGGGGTCCTTATAATAAGGATCCCACTATTTAGGGTACTATATGAGGGTCCCCTATTTTCGTAAAACTCCCAATATCTGAAGAAATTGACCGTCCAGAAAGCCATCCCACTCTTACATGGGTTATGATTTGCCTTTCTCTGCTGTCGGGGCCTAAATAATTACTAGTAGTAGTTACTAATACCATTTTGGAGCTTCCTTGTTATCATTATAGTATACTGGGCCCAAAACGCTAGTTATTAAGGCCCCTGCATTACTGTTTTTTTTGGTATTCCTAGCCCCGAAACCCTAAACACTAAACTCTAAACCCTACACCCCTAAACCCTAAACCCCCTTTCTCTACTGCTCTTTTTTTGGGTGGTCTTCCTAGCCCTAAGCCCGTAAACCCTATACACCCTATCTTGGGATCTTCCATGGAAGCCGCGCTCTTTAAGAATCCCTTTAAAGGAACCCCCCAAAACCCTGTCCTAATTATCAAGGCCCCTAACATCGAACCCCATTATAGAGCCCTTATAGCGCCCTGTAAGAATCCCTTTAAAAGGAACACCAAAACCCTATTCCCTATATTGACTGTTCTTAGTTTTGGGTGGTCTTCCATGGAAGCCGAGAGCTGCCTAAAACCCCTATTTTGTGGTCTTCCTAGACCCTAAAGGGGGACCCTATCTCAGGAGCCCAGTAGGTGAACTTTAAACTTTTTGGTATATTAAGCCCCCTACTCAAAGAAAAGTTTAGACTGTTTTGGCCCAGGGTACTGGTTATCGGGCCCTATACAACTCTTTAAAGGGGTATTGCTAGAAGCCGAGCGAAGTGCAGGAGTCAGCGACCGACACGTCCTCTGCCGTTCACGCCATGGTGATCCTGGGCCAGTCTTGGGCCGTTTCGGCTTTAGAGGATTTTGAACTTAGGGTTTAAAGTGTAGTGTAGGGGTTAGGGTTTAGGGTTTTTGAACTGAGGGTTTCGGCTTTAGGGGTTAGGGTTTAGGGTTTAGGGTTTTTGAACTTAGGGTTTCGGCTTTAGGGGTTTGGGTTTAGGGTTAAGGGTTCTTGAACTTAGGGTTTAAGGTTTAGGGTTCTTGAACTTAGGGTTTCGAGTTTAGAACAACTTAGGGTTTCGGGTTTAAGGGTTTAGGGTTTTTGAACTTAGGTCTTGGGTTCGTTTTTCCGCACGATTGTCAAATGGGGCCCATAACAAGGATGTGTTTTCCTTTGGGGGGCTTTGGCTTCCTAACTTTTGGGACAGCAAGCCCACAAAAAGGATCCTTTTTCCTTTTCGTAGTGTGCGCTTCCTAACTGTTTGCGTAACAGAAAGCTCTTAAACAGGATCCTGGTCATTCGATCATTTGGCTCTTCGACAAACAGCTTCAACATCGCAGTCATGAAAGATGAGATTCGAGGGTTTAGGGTTTCGGGTCTAGGGGAGTTGAACCTCCAATGATTGAGCATACAGTAGCGAGCTCTCGCCGTCGAACGTCCCTTGAGGTTGAGCTGTCGATTTGCCGAGCAGCCAAGGATCTTGATGTGCCCGATAAAGAAGAGGTGACCGGTACGCACCATTGAATTTCGGGGCTCTAAACCCTAAACCCTAACAGCTCAAGCCCGAAACCCCAATCACTAAAGCCCTAAATCCTACCAATGCCTGCACTCCGAAACAGCCGCAGCATCCAGAAAACCTCTACGCACTGCAAGGCCTTAAACACCCTCAGGGTGTGGGGCCCAGTATACTATAATGAAAGAAAGGAGCCCCCAAAATAGTATCGGTAATTATTTAGGCCCCCATATTGCAGCCCTTACCCCTCAAGCCCGAAGCACCCAGAGGGCTCAGAGTGTCCAGGATCTGTTGACGGGCGACTGCTTGGGATTTAGGGCTTTAGGCTTTATGGGGTTGGACCAGGCGCGAGTTCTACCGGCACCTCGTCGAATACGACGCTGGGCCGGCATGCGAGCTTGACACATTGGGGCTTGGATAATTACCTTTGTTCTTCCTGAGGGTTCCCTTGTCGAGCTAGAGTAGCGTTTATCACCGGAATCCAGTTCCAGGTCTTTTATTCGTCGCCCAGCATGTGCCATGCAACTCCTCACCCTACCCTCTTGCAGGGTTAGAGGCCGGTCAAAATCAGGCGGTAGGCTGTCGAGTTTTCATGTCTGAGTCGTAGATGGAAGAGCATGGACGGTAGTCTGAGAAGTTGGGTTTAGGGGGGTTTAGGGTTCCAGGTTTTTCCACCCTAAACCCTAAACCAGCTACGGCTAAGGACTGGGAGGCGGTTTGCGGCGCCTTCTGCTACATGTTCTTGCTGCTCGGCAGCCTTTAAAGGGATCTGTACGGGGCTCCTGTTCTATAATGGTTCCTTTAAGACATCTATAAGGGGTTCCTTTCAGGGTTCCTTTAAGGATGAATCGATGGGGGTTCCTGTAAAGGGTTTAGGGTCTCGCGAGTGGGGTTTTTGTGGGTGCCCGATGTTGCGACGATGCAGGTCGCCACACTGTGGACCGCCGGAGACGTTGAAGAGGCCGCCTGGGCTTCGGGTTTAGGGCTTAGGGTTTAGGATGCAGGGTTTAGGGTGCAGGGTTTAGGGTTCAGGGTTTAGGATTCAGGGTTTAGGTTAAGGGTTTTGGGTTCCAATAGGGGGTAGGTTGGGTTCGTATAGGAAAGGCTGAAGGTTTAGGGTTTTGGGGGGTGTTTCGGGTTTAGGGGGTGTTTCTCGTGATTTGTGTTTAAATGTTTCGGTCAGAAAAAGCACCGGTTATCACATTTAAGTGAGTTGGTTCGAATCAATCCGTTTATTGTGGCCGCGTATTGTGGCCTAGGGGGCTTGTGGTTTAGTTAGGGCGCATGCCGTGTCCTGAGTCTTTGGTCCTTGAGGTGTCCAGCAAGGCACACCCCCCAAGAAAAGATTCAACCCTAAACCCTTAGCCCTGTAAACCCTATAAACCCAAGAAACCCTATAGTTCCCTTTTTCGTACCCTATAAACCCAATAAACCCTATAGTACCCTATAATCCCTATAAGCCCTGTAGTACCCTTTCACCCCTGGCTTGGCCAGGGAATGGGGGAATGGGTTATAGGGACTACTAGAAGGGACCTTAAGGGACTGCTTTCAGGGACCTTCAGGGACTACTATAAGGGACCTACAGGGACTACTATAAGGGACCTGAAGGGACAACTATATAAGGGACCTGAAGGGACTACGATAGGGATCCATTCCCCCATTCCCTGCTAAGCACCAGACAGTCTTGCACAGCAGGGCGTTCGGAGCTTCTCTCGGAGCTTCGCCGCCCCCCTGAGTGTAGGGTTTGGGGTTCCCCTAAAACCATAAGCCGAGCCGTGCTAAGGCAGAAGCCTTCGAAGCAACCTGAGCCATAGCTCGCAAGTATAGGGCCTAAATGATTACCAAGGTTGTTCCTCAGGGTTCCTTATTGTAAGTATACTCTACAGGAGCCTATAAAGGAGCCCCGAACCCTATACTAATTACTATATAAGGCCCCTACATTACATTCCCGGCCCTCGCCACTTCGGTCTTCAGAGGATCTGCGACTGCCTCCTCTTCCTCGATGCCGAGGCCTGCGTTAGGAGGAGAAACTCCCATATACCTAAACCCTATCTATATATGTATATATGGATATATATATATATATGGGTATATATACATATGGATATATATATATATATATCCTAAACCTAGACTCCCAGAAAATGCGACCTCTGCGCCTTCCCAGGATATCGTCTCAGGCCCTCCAGCTAGAGGAATGGCTGCCAAATTCTAGGGGTTTTAGGGTTCAGGGGTTAGGATTTCGGGTGTGAATGGGTTTTGGGTTTGGGGCTTTGTGGATGATGCGGGCGCATGCCTCTCGACGAAGAGCGAAACCCAGGACGACCTTGGCATCCTTAGAGAATGTGCGCAGAAGCGAACAAGCATGTTTACGGCTTGCTGCGAAGAGTTTAGTGTGCAAAAGTCAAATCATTTAAAGGTAGAGTGGGGGGATAGTACATTTTAAGTTATACGATCAGACCAAGTTTCTGATATCGTATACCAAAGTTCTACAAAGACTAGTACAGGGGCCTAAATAATTACCTGTACTATTTTTGGTGGTTCCTTATTATCATTATGCCATAAAGGGCCCCCAAACCGTATTCTAATAAGAATTTAGGGTGTCTCGCAGGCGTCATCGAAGGTGGAGCTCGATGTGGAGACGGCGGAGGAGATGCATCAGATGAATGCCAAGCTCCAGCAGGTGCTAGGGCTTGCTTTAAAGGGTTCCTGAAAAAGGGATACTATCAGGGATCTACGATAGGCTTCTATGTTAGGGGCCTTAATAATTAGAATAGGATGCATCAAATGAATGCCAATACTATGGGCCACCTATACTATTTCGGGGGTTCCGTATATTACAATTATAGTTTAATATACCCTTACACCTCAAACCCTGATATATAGGGGCCTTCATAGTTCGAATAGGGCTCCTTTGAAAGGGTTCCTTTAAAAGGGATACTACAAGGGTTACTATAAGGGTTCTATCATGTAGGGGTCTTAATAATTGGAATAGGGTGTTGCGGTGGTTGTGGACATGAGTCTGAGGGATAACTATAATAAGGAACACCCCAAAAACCCTGTTGCAGTTCTTAAGGCCCATACATTAGTATCCTCGGTTTGAGAGGGGTACAACAAGAACAAGGTGGCTGTAAAACATGTGGCTTTTACTGTGTTTTTCAGATTAGATGGGGAGGCGCAAGCTGGGCTTTTCTACGGTATTTACGCCCAGAGGACCCCTAAACCCTACTAAACCCTGAACCGCCGTTGCTTGATTTGGTGTGAGACTTGTCGAACAACTTCAACTTTGGTACTAAAACAAACTCCGAAATCTGCTAGATGTCCCGCTCCAAAGACCCAAATGCGGGCTTTGAGTTTGGATGTCAGGGTTTTGGACGTATGGACTTGGGAGCTTTGGGTTTGTCCGGGATCGCGATTTGTGGCGGTTGGCTATGAGGCATACTAAGACGCGTGGGCGGTCGAACCCTAGCCGAATGAACCGTCGTGGGCTTCAATGCGTTGAGACTTTCAGGTGCTTTAACAAGGACCCTCCTTGTACCCTCGAATAGGGGTACATGGCCCCAATATGTGGAGTCTTGGAGCCTTGCGGTAGAACGTCTAGTTCTTGGGAAGTTTAGAGTTCAGCCCGTAGGCTTGAGGGGGGTTCGGGTTAAGGGTTTCCTTGAGGTACCCCGGTGCACTTCAGGGTAAGTTGAAGCGCCATCCTTCCCACAAGCTTCGCGGCTGCAGACGGCTGTCGCAATGGTCGAGTACCTGAGAGACTACGAGCAGGATTGAAGCTGTTGGTCAGTCTTCTGTGGGCCTAAGTTGGTGTTTCAGAGCCCTACTTAAAGGATCATGGGACTTAGTAAGTAGGGTTATAATTAGGTAACTATACTTATAACCCCAATAAGGGACTTATAACCTTACTTACTAAGTCCCATGATCCTCCAAGTAGGTGTTTCCTTTGTGTTTCGGGGGGCAGTCTTCCAGCCCTTCAAGGAGCTGCGACTTCGCGACGGGTGGTGGCCATGTTTGTATTCGGGATAAGACTCGGTTCTTCCCTATGCCCTTCACTCGCCCAGCTGCCATCGCCGGTTCTTTCGACTTGTCGGTGTAATCTGGATCTCTATGACGCACCGGTGCCAAGCGACGGACCACAAGAATGAGCTCTTAGCAAAAAGCCAAAAGCTGCGGGATTTCGTGATCACTGTCGTGTCGGAAACACAGAACCTCGACTCTCATGGGCTTTGCACCCGCGGCTCATCTTGAACTTTTCACCGAGGGCATAGCTCTCTGCCGCTCAGGAGGAACTGTGGTACAGCGAGGTCGGCGCGGAAATCCTGGCTGACTTCCAGCCACGTGCTCGCAAGGGTTTGTTTCTGGACCCCCCCCGAATGCCGTCCAAAACCCGAAGGCCTGACAGCACTCTCGAGTGAGGGAATAGACCCTAAATCATGAATGAGAAAAAGGCCTCTATCGTTGTCTAAAGACTGTGGCAAACGTGGTGTTATTTCTTCATGGCCAGGTATCAACGCATACGTACTTCTGCCCTTGCAACTGGAATCCAGTCAAGAATTTCTTGAAAACCTTACACCCTAAGCCTTGAATCCTGAATCGGTCCCATTTAACAACAAAACTCTCAAGACAAATTCCAACGCAATCGGACCTGCTGTTTTCCGGTGCCCGGCCGGGCCGTCGTCCGTGAGCGACGGGTTTGCTGCGCGCACCCCCGAAATCATCCGGAGCCCTGAAGGGTGTAACATAGGGGCCTATATAACTACCTATACTATCTTGGGGTTTATTATAACCCCCACATAAACGGGACCTTTATACCCCTATATGAATAGAGTATAATATAACCCTAAACTTTCAGCTGGAGCAAGGTTTGTGGAAGATGCACAGCCGCACAAGCCACTCAGCCCAAGCCCTCAGGGAAAAGATGCACAGAGCAGCGGCTACCTGGAACTGTTACTTCACAAGAAGGCTAGTTTGCGCACAGCTTCTGCAAATAAAGATACAAACATAACCAATATAGGGGTATGGAAAATGTACTGATAACAAAGCAGCCGAAAAGAAAAATATACTGATATTTTTTAAGGAAACGCAGAGCTGACAACAGAGACGATAAAGTCTTAGGACGCAAGGCCTCTAGGGTCAGCCCCGAGGGTGCCACCATCATCACGGCCAGCCTACTAAAGAAGGCAAGCCGGCATACTTCATCCAGTTTCCACTTTCCCACCTGTGGTTTCTACCCTAAACCCTACACCCTAAACCCTAAACTCTACACCCTAAACCACTGTAAACCCTAAACCCCTAGATCCCGAAACCCCTAAACCCCTAAACCCTAAACTACTGTCCCCGCTGTTGGTTTCTTTCCGACGGCTCGGAACTTGCAGGTTCATGGGTAGTTATAAGTGGGGTTACAAGTCCCTTGACTGGGTTATAACTATAGTTACCCTACTTATACCCTAAACCCTAAACCCTAAACTCTACACCCTAAACCCTAAACCCTAAACCCTAAAACCTAAACCCTAAACCCAAAACCCAAAACCCTACTTATAACTGACCATGAACCTCCAAGAAGGTTCGTGGATGCTCGGCTCTTCTTCTTTCGTCCCCGGCTCCAGCGGATTCTCTGCGCCTGCCGGCTGCAAGTCAGGTTTGGGGATAGCAGCGGGGTTTAGGGTTTAGGGTTTAGGGTTTAAGGTTTAGGGTTTAGGGTTTAGGGTTTTAGGGTTCAGGTCTGGGGATAGCAGCTGATGGCACTGGGGTAATAATAATATCCCCTTATAGCCCCTTTATAGCTACACTAACAAAAAACCACAAGCCCGTAGTCTACGGCTATAAATCGTATCCCCTTTTTCTGTCCCTTGATATTATTCTTGAGTACGCCCGCAAACTCCTGATTCTGATTGCGGTCCCTCCATTCGCAAGCGGGGAGCTCGGTGAGCCTCACAGACCTTTCGAGTGAGTTCTACGGAGTCTTCCGGCCCCAGAGGGTTTAGGGTTTAGGGTTTAGGGTTTAGGGAGGTCTTAGTACAGGAACCTACCATAAATTGCAGGGGATTAGTATTCTGATTCTGAGGCATATTTTGTAGTTCAAGGATGTTCGGCTCTCTGGCTATGCCCTGCACCCTGAACCCTAAACTCCACCCACACCTGAAAAGTACACTAAACCCAAGACCCGGAAGATGTCCAGTGGCACGGCTGGCCGCAAGCTTCCCCACACAGAGTTGTTCCGGATTGTTTCCGGTAAAAGTGGAGCTTGGGGTTCAGGGTTCAGGGTTAGGGTTTAGGGTACATTGAGCCCTATGTCCTTGGAAGGTTCACCTGAAAGAAACTAGGGCTGTTTTGTAGTAGGGTTTTATGGAGGTTTAGATTCCCATAGTACCAATCCCCTGCACCATGTAGTTGAGGTGTCTGAACCTTAAACCAAAGCAGGGTGTGTTTCTTGCTTCCGGGGGTGGCATTGGGCTGGCTGCGTTGATCACTTAAGTAGACCCAAGCCACTTTCGGGACCCTTTCACAGTTGAAAGCGAAACCCTAAACCCTAACAACCCGGCCTTTGAAGGGTGAGTACACCCTGAACCCTCGACCGTAAGGCCTGTTGGGTTCCCCAGGACATGTGGCATCCCAAGTACGACCATGTCAGCGACTGGGAGTACATGTGCTACGTGCTGAAGCTCCTCTGCCAATGAAAGCCCGGTCTCACTCGTAGGGTTTAGGGTTTTCGGGGTTTCGGGGTTTGGGAGTGAGGGCTTGGGGCTTAGGATTTTAGGACTAGAGGTTTCATGGCTTAGGGGTTCGGACACCTTCCGGGATTCCGCGGAACCTGAGTGCGCATGCAGCATCCTTGCAGAGTTCCGGTGTGTCCTAAACCCTAAACCCAATGCCTGACATGAAAATGCAGCTGCATTGCTTTTCAAGGTTCAGATTCGGACTAGGTGGTTCCGGGTAATGTAGGACCTGATTAAGAGACCCTGGGCCTTTTTTCAGGGTTCTCAATATGAACCCTTAATAAATATGTTGGGGTTCTAGGGCCAGGATTTCTTAATCATTTTCCTACATTATCGACCAATGCAAGGAATGAGGATGCGGTTCCTCCAAGTGCCGCAGGGTGGGCGGTGCGCCTCTGCAAAGGGGGTTCGCCGTCTGGGAGCCTTGTCTTCCAGCTCGGACTGTCTGACTGCGATGGGGTCCGAAATAACTGTCTGGTGCTTAGTAGGGAATGGGGGAATGGATCATAGATAGTCCCTTAAGGTCCCTTATAGTAGTCCCTATAACCCATTCCCCCATTCCCTACTAAGCACCAGACAGATAATTGCCAGTACTATTTCGGGGGTTCCTTCTTATCAACATACTATAATGGGCCCCCAAACCATACTATCAGGCCGGGCCACCAAGCCTCAGGCCGCAAAAACATACTGAAGCTTTAAAGATCCAAAATGGGGGTTTCCGAAAGTAGGGGACCCTAATATAGTACCCTAAATAATAGGATCCCTGTTATAAGAACCCCAACATAAGGTACCCCTTATTTTCGGAAACTCCCAAATCTTGAAATCTGTTGAACCTTGAAGAGTCCTGTCCGAGACAAGGGCACTTGGTCTGGAGTCCTGCCACACCGCAGCTTTTTCCCCAAACCCCCAAAAACCCTGTAAGCGGCCTAACCCCAAAAGCCCCCAAAAAGCCCTTTACGTCCCTGTTCCAGAGGTTTCATGCCGGCAACATCATGGGGCTTATTTTGCTGATTCCCTGCGCGCTGTGCCCGAGTCTAGAAAGCCCGGATCTCGGCTTTCGTTGGGTTTCTTTGCAAGACGCGTAGTTCTGTAAATTAGGGTAGCTTTTCGGTCCGCACAACGGTACGAATTTATCATAAAAAGGACCCTAAAGGTGCCCCTAATTTAGAGAACTACCCATACATTAGACCTTGAATATTGCCGGGATCTTAATATGGCTTACGGCGTATTCCTGAATTTAAGGCGTTCGGGAGTCTCTGGACACATGCGGGTTCCAAAGCCTTCAGGAACGTCACGTCCTTGTGGATGATCCAGTCAGGGTGTAGCACGTGGGCTTAATCCAGAAGCCGAAATAGTTACCTATACTGTTCCTTAGGGTTCCTTTTGATGATTATGCTACAAAGGAACTCAAATGATTCCTTCGCCAAAAACGGAGCCCAAATGATTCCTTAGGTTCCTTATTATATGCATACCAAAACAGGAGCCCAAGAGCCTATTCTACTTATGAAGGCCCCTACATTCGGAGCTTGGAGCTCAGAGTTGAGCTCAGTCGTCAGCTTACGAGTTCCGATCGTAGACGTGTCCGAAAACTTGGCGTGGAGATGCCGGAGCTGGTTTAGGGAACTAGGGAACTAGGGTTTAGGGATGTGGGGTTTATTGTTTAGGGGTTTAGGGTCTAGGTCTTGGGGATGCTGGAGCTGTGAAAACCGGGCGCGTGTGAAGCTGTTGAACCTTTTCGAGATCAGCTGTGCATGGCCGGGAGTGTTGGAAGTTAGGTTCCGTAGCGACGACCGAACGGATGATCTTGTCTTCGAGCTTTTGGAATCGTGGGGTTCGCGTCAGAAGTTCAGTGCCGGGTGGTAGATGTTGTCCCAGAGGCCTCGAGGCCACTCACCCAGAGAGTGAGCCCAACACCCTGTAATTACGAACTGTCCTTGAAGAATATATTGCCTTCCTGTTGTCTATGGAGGAGTTTTCCTTGGACTCTCTAAGGCATTTTATGACTTCTAGTATAGTTATCTGATTTAGGTGATGTTGGGATTCTGTCAGTGTCTTGTGCTCTCCAATTTCCCGAGAGCATTGTCTCTGAGCATAAGCATATCAAGCCCAGCAGTGTTGTCAGGCTACGTGTACAACAGAAAAATCTCGATGGAGAGAGAGATACGAAAGTTGCTTGCCAGCAAGGAGAATTACGGATTTCAATTTCTATCAGTCAGAGTTGAATCAAAAGGCAAGTTCGATCTGATACGAAGCTCGGGTTTCTACCACAATAGTCTGCCCAAGAGCTGTGCATGTTTGGCATCATGCAATTCCCCGCGTACCCAAAGGCTTGCGGCGATGTGCAGGAATTTCACCTGACTCCCATGTCATAGGGGCATGTAATCCTAATCCCTATAAAGCCTAAACTACACCGTAAACCCCGAACCCTAAACCCTAAACCCCTGAACCCTGAACCCTATACGACCCTAAACCAGAAACCCCAAACCCTGAACCCTAAAACCATGTGATCCTGGTAAACGGCTCAGTAGAGTTTCGTAGCCTCAGATCTGGATAAGTTGGGGTTTCAGTTTGGCGGACGCATCCTTGGGATCGCCAGGGTTCGTCCTGGAAGCTCCTTGGGCTCTCAAATAAGCCAAGGAAGATCGGTTCCTGATTTAGGAAAGTGATCCCACTCGCCCTTCCTTTAACCCCTGGACCCCTAGACATCTTCCTCCTGCCAGACTGCAGGTCGCATTCCAGTCTTGTCTTAACCCGACTAGGTGTCGAACGCGGGTTAGCTGGCACGGACGTACCGAATAGAGCCGGGAGACTGCACGTGACGACTTGTCATGACACTGTTGCCGATGGCGCTGGCGATGATGATGTTGGTTCAAACTGTGATAATGATGATGGTGTTGGTGTTGATGCTGAGGATGATGCCAATGGTGATGGTGGTGGTGATGAGGTTGGTAATGTTACTGTTCCAGTGACGATGGTGAGTGCGGTCATGACGGCTTATGACCAAGCTAATGATGAATATGGCGGTAGTGCGACGACGACAAAACATGGTGAGTATGATCATGACCGTGCTGTTGGGAGTAATTCACGCCTTCAAAATCTCGGGTTTAGCCGAAACTACACAGGAACTACTTGGTTAGATTAGCCCGTAAGTCAGACACGACCTTGAATCAAGGCATTCCTAATCCGCACATGCGGACTTGGGTTTCCTCATGTTCTTCTTCGGGCGAGGGTTCGTGTCTCACCCAAGTCGCGGGATCCTCGAGGGTTGCATTTCGGGGCCTTCATGATTGTTTAAAGGATTTTGGGCTGTATGATGCTATGACTCATATAAGGTATCAAGGGGATGTCTATTGGTAAATCTTCCGGCCCCTATGCTTACGACTCAGACTGGAGTTATGGTGGTGAGTCATGTGAATTGCCTAGGCCCCTGTGGTACGTATGCACATGTGTGCATATGTGTGTATATATATACATATATATGCATATAAACATATATATATATATATATTTGTTTATTTACCTATTTATTTATATGCTAACCCCCCAATGGACCCCCAGGACCTCTGAATGTGTGTCGTCGCTTTTCGAGTCTACGGTAGGAGACGTTCTGTCTGTGCAACGTCAGCCATGTACCTTGGCATAGACGCTGATGTAAGAAATATTCGTGTTCTTCTAAAAGCTCCTCACCCACCTTCCACGGTTTAGGATTTAGGGTTTAGGGGTTTAGGCTTTAGGACTTTAGGGATCTCAAGATCTTGTAGCTTCTTGAGCAGGGGGCTTCCAGGAAAGAAGCTAGGAATAAAAGACAATAGCCTCTAGAACACCTTATAGAATACCCTTTCTACAAACCGTAAAGAACTCTTATAAAATACGATAGTACCTTCTAGAATAACACCCTCTATGCCTTGTATAAACCTTATTGAACGAATACCCTTGGCACGCACGTGCAATTCTTGTGATTTGGTCGTGGTGCTACTTTCGAAGCTGTAGCATCCTCACACGGCCGCGCCCGGACGTCCCCATCACCGGTCCGATGGACACGGTACAGGTCGCGGAAGAACGTAGCAGATATACTATAGCCTAGAGAACACCTGTTAGAATACTTTCGAATATCACCTATATTATATACCTTCTAGAATGCACCACCAAACCTCATAGAATGCCTCACAACAAAAGCATTTATATGGGAAAAATCAGGAGGAGCCCAAGATCTGAGAGTTCCCCAGTTGAATCGTAGTTTACAGGGTAAGCAACTCACCTGCGGAATCTAGGATCTAGGAATTCCTTGAACACATCGAAGCTCATTGAGTAAGGGATACAGATGGAGAACAGAATCCCTGCTATGCATACAGCATAGAGTACCTTCTACAATACATTGTGGAATAGCCTTTTGAATACCTTTCAGACTACCTTCTAGAATACTTTGCAACGTTCCCCCGAAATAGCCTACATATACCTTAGAATACCATCTGGAGTATCCTGTAAAATACCTTATAGAAGACCGCCCATACCCCCTGTATACTCTATATATGTCATATAGGCTGCCTTTAGAATACCTTATGGGATACCCAATAGAGCACACTGTAGATAGGGTTTTAAATGTGGAGACCATTCGGAGCCCAAGATCTGAGAAGCCGCCAGTTGAATTGTAGTTTATTGGTTACAGGGTTCCTATGAAGAACATCCAGAACCAAGAAGAATAGCCTTAAAACAACCTGACAGAACGCCTCCTCTATATGTATCTGAAGAATGTACTACAATGTCATATACAATACCCAGATTCTATGAGATTCCGGTTTCCTTATAGAATACCCTACAACCTAGAGAACAGCATGCCTTATCGAATACCTTCCTAAATACAGGCTATAGAGTACCTTTTGTACAATACCTTATGGAGTACCCTATAGAATAATAGTGCCCGATCGAATACCATCTGGAATACCCTGTAGTAGGATACCTTACAGAAGACCGCCTATGTAATGTACCTTCTTCATACCTTGCACATACCTTCTAATTTATGCTTAGAATACCGTTTTAGGATACCCCTAAAACTACTTGATAAAATAGCCTATAGCTTACCCTATAGATAACGATTTACATAAGAAAAGCCAGGGGGAGACCCAAATCTGAGAATTCACCAGCTAAATTGTAGCTTATTGAATACGGGATTTGAGTGAAGAACACCGGGAATCTAGCAGCATTGCCTATAGAATACCTTACTGAATACCCTTTCTACAAACCTTAAAAACACTCATATAAAACACGGTAAATCCTGTATATAAACCTTTTTGAATAATACCCTGCAGCCTATTTGATACGGTATATCTTAAAGACCCTGTAGAATACATTCTTATATGTATATACACCCTATAGAATACCGTATATAATGCCTTACGGAATACCCTATAGCCCTATAGAATGCGCGATAGAATATGTTATAAACTGATCCTATATATCCTTTACAGAATACCATCTAAAATATTTTCAATATACCTTATATAATACCTCATCTATAAGATACCCCAGGTATTGCTTATATATACCCTTTTGAAATTTGGTGCTATGGAACCACCTTTCGCTGTCCTGATTTTCGGAAAACTCAGCGGTTCGATAGCACCAAGTTTCTGCAGGATGACAGCGCAGTAGCTGTGCAGCGTACCTAAGGCAGGCAGGTGGGGTAACTAAAGAAACCAAATCCCCCCCCCAGAAAAAAAAAAGGACCCTATTCAACACATAGGGCTGGTTCTTTTGGTGCGTGCGGTTGTTGGTTGTGTTGTTGTTGTGGTTGTTTTTGAGTTTTGTTGGTTTGTTGGGTTGTCCTGCTTCTTGCGACCCTTCCAGACACAGGCTTGAATCTAATCTGTTTCAATATTTTGTGCTTCATGCGCGCCTGGTATATCTACCGTCTCTTAATCTAGTGTGCTGTAGCTTATAACCCCTTCCCCCACATATATGTATATCTAGGCATAAGACTTGACATGTAACTAGCCGACATAGGTCAATAAAATATATAGGATTGAAGTAACCGCAGAGACATGTACACCTATATACATATCTGTAATCATGGATGTATATGTACTATATGCACTCCCACACATGTATTTACAGCAGGGTCGGTCAAGATTATGTATACATATACGGATATGCACAAGATATACAGATTGCAGGTGCATTGTGCTGTGCTCTGTCACAGGCACCTGCGTCCTTGAACCACAAGGCACTCTGCCGGACTGGCTTGTGTCTAGCACACCCCATCGTCGCTGAACCCGAAAGACGAAGAATCCGGTGAGTTTAGGAATCAAGCAACCTGAGGAGAAGGGATGCAGATCGCCAGAAGATTGAGAAGGAGGCCTCGTGGCTGTTACTTCCTCGTGATGCTAATGAGCTTGCCTTGGGGAGTATCCCAAATCTGCCTCGAAGCGGATCCCTTTGGATTTCCCCATCGGTCTTCTGGGCTCATGAATCTACGATCTTCGGAACTTATGGATGAAGAGAAACGAGCTCAGGGATCAGGCGATGAAGAACCTCCAACGCGGAAGGCCTATTTGCTAAAGAGGGTTTTGTTCGATGTCGATCTTCATCGCAAAGGCCAAGGGCTCAACATGTTTGATTATCTCATCCCATGCCTGCGCTGCTAGTTCAGTGTCTTCAAGCCATTGCAAGCCTTGGACTTTGGGCACCCAGTGCACGCCATGAAATTCAAGATGGCAACTCCCCGTAGACCTACTTCAAGAGGTAATGTAGAAGCTTACATAATAACCAACATTCTTCCTTGGGGTTCCTTGTTGGAGTCATAGCATAATGAACCCCTGACCCTTTTGTTACTTCAGTTCAGAATCCCAGCACTGGGGTAGCAGCTGAGTCACAGGTCAGCGAGGAGAGTTCGCGGCGAATGACCTGGAAAGCCAAAACACAAGCGGATAGGATCAACGGAAAGAAACAGAAGGCCAGTCGAGAGATTGAGAAATGTATCAAGATTTGAGGTTTGGGGTTCGGAAGGCCATCGGAAGGAATCAGGATTCATAAGGCCGATAAAGGCGGCTTTAGTTTTCAGGGCTTACGTTTCAAGATGTTCAGCAAAGGCCAAGTAGGTTGAGAGGTTGTTTTGAATTGGCCATCCCAGATCAACGGGAGGAGGCGGAAAGTCCACAAATCGCAGTTTGATCGCTTTGCGACGGTTTGGGGCAAGTCAGGGCTCAGCAGTTGGGAGTGAACCCTCCAGAATTTCGACGCTCCAGCCTTCAGGTTTTTTTTTGCAACTGAAGACTGAGGTTTGAATGCTAGGGCTAGTGCTAGTGCTAGGCTGCTGCTGCTACTACTACGACTACTACTACTACTACTACTACTACTACTACTACCTGCTACTACTACTACTACTACTACTACTACTACTACTACTACTACTGCCGGAGCCAACCCTGGACCCCCTAAACCCCCCAAAACCCCCTAAACGAAAGAAAAAACCTCCTCTAAACCCCTAAACCGAAAGAAAAAACCTTCCTCTAAACCCCCCAAACCGAAAAAAAAAAAGAAACCCCCTCCTAAGACCCCCAAACCAGGAGATCACCGACCTCTGGATGAACAGCTGCTTGACGATCCTGCTGCCGCGCCAGCCCCCGGGATGAATTTCTTTAGGCTCAGGGCCTTCGGGGGGCTGAAACGCAGGGTTTGGGATTTAGGGTGGTTTACGGATGTTTAGGGGGGTTTTGGGTTTAGAGGTTTAGGGTTTTTAGGCTTAGGGGGTTTAGGGGTTTAGGGTTCAGGGGCTCAGGGGTTTAGGGTTTAGAGGCAACCAACCGAAGCTGATGTTTTGTGTGCTTCGGGTTTACGGAGACTCCAAGGGGGGGGGCCTTAAACTGGAGAGTAGACTCTGGACCTGAAGTGGGAGGGGCTATAGAGTCTCCAGCTTGCTCTTAGGATTCCCGGCCAGGGACGCCCCGAAATGCGTGTTAAAGGCTTCTTGGGAGGGCTGCAGCCTTCGCCTCTTTTGGTGCCTGTGGTGTTGCAAAAGGTTGGGGGGCTTGGACTAAACCCTAAACCCTGGTGGGATGCTACGATGGCACCGGAGGAGCCAGGTGTATTTCAGTCTAGCAGGCAAGGCCCAGCTCAGAGAACATGCCATGCAATACCCCTTTAATTATGGAATATACCTTAAAGTAAAGGGGCCTGAACATTGTGATTTAAGGTATATTCCTGAATTAAGGGGGTATTGGGCTCTCTGGGTATGCCCTACATCCTGAAAGCATCCTGCTGCTAAGGCTCCGATTCCTATGCCCTGAGTCCGAAAACACAAGAGCTCCCACTCCATCGAACCCGTAGTAACCTCGAAATCCACCTTCAATCCTACCGCCTGAACGAAGTTCTTGAGGACATTTCTAGACCCGAGAACGGGAGCCCGGAGACTTAGATCCAAAAATGCAAACCCCCAGAGACTCCACAACCCTTCAAACAAAGCGTAGGCATAGACCTTACATCATACCCAGGATCCCTCTATAATTTAAGTTATGTTCCTTAATTAAGGGGTGTTGGAGTCTCTCGGATCTACCGAGGAAGAAGTACCTTGCAATCTTCACGCACCTTGCTGGAGAATGTGTCGTCTACGGGGACGGAAGCCTTTGCTGTCCAACAGCTGCGTCCGATAGCCCCAAATCCTGGAAACCCCTGAACCTTTAACCCTATAGGAACCGTTGCCTTACGGTATAGTAACCCGAAACGAGGGGACGTCGACCCCAGGCACCCCACAAGGCAATAGCAAGGAGAATAAACGATCCCTGACAGTCCCAAGCAGATGCACAGCATAACGTAGCCTCAAGCACGGCTGTAAATATTTCAAGGCCCTATATTCGGCCTATGAGGGGTAATTCCAGCAGCTCGGGGACAGGGGCCTACCACCACTATTCCTTAGGGTTCCTCATGATTCGTATACTAAAGCATTCAACCCCAGAACTCTGTTCAAAGTCTTGTCTTAAGGCCTCTGTATTTGTAGAGACGCTATCTATGAACCCGTACAGAAGGTTCGGAGCAACCCTCTTCCGATTCTTCCCCGATATTCTTGAACTCCAGAACCCTTGGAGGAGCCTTTTACAAAGTCTTAAGACCCCTATCTTGTAGTATACTGTAGAACCCTTATTGTAGTTGTAGGAACCTTGATCTGATTCTTAAGGCCCCTACATTCTACAGTCCATAGTGTAGTTATAGGAACCCTAATCTGATTCTTAAGGCCCCTATATTCTGACTCTTCAGGGCCCTTACATTATGTAGGGGTCCTCGATCAACGGCACTAGAGAAGAATGAGGTTCCCAAATGTTGCAAGTAAGAAAGGGCCCCGCTACAGGGTTTGGGGTTTAGGGTATATGGGCTTAGGAAGGCTTAGGATTAGGGGTTTCGGTTTCAGCAGAAAGGGCCGCCAGCCTGAAGAGTTTTGTGATAGTATTCCTTATGTCCCAGAAGAAGGAGAATATAGAATTCCTCAGGGGTGAGGCCTTACGCATGATAGCGGCATGATACTTCTCAGGGTTTAGGGTCTAGATGGTTACAGGTTTTAGGGTTTAGGATTGTTCAGTTTAGGGAGGGTTCCCTAGTATAGCTATGGTATATTGGACCCCAGAACCCTCTCCGAGTATCATGGTGCAGGGATTCAACAAGTTTCAAAGATTGCAAAGTGTAGATTTAAAGGTGTGATGTTCGTGTCTAGGGGATTAGGGTTTGGGGCCAGGCTCTGGCAGTGCTGGCAGTATTAGAACGGGGTTCGCAGAGGCTAGTAAACTGTATCAAGCGACCATGTGAGGACTGGCAGTGCTGCTGATTATCCAGGTCCCTGCACTAGACTCCCCCTTGTTCGCCCCTGAACCCAAACCAAGAACCCTGACACCCAGACCCTAAGCATAAAACCCCAAGGAAGAGCTAGTGGACCCCAAACCCCATTAGTCAAGGGAACCCAAACCCGGATCCTTTCATAGTGTTCCCTCAAGACCCTAAACCCCTATACGAACCCTTACAGGAACCAGGGAACCTTAAGTCCTTTACCGTTTCAGGAGCTTTGAAGCACACGGAACCCCAGACCCTGTCTTCTAGAATCCATAGAGCACCCCCTACTTGCAGCACCCCGGAACTCTAAGCTCGAAACCCTAAACCCTATACCCTAAGCCGATAAAGGAGCTCTAAGCTTAAAGTAGCAATCACTTAGAAAGGAAAGCTGCAAGGAACCCCGAGAGATCCCTGAATTACAAGAGCTCTTAAAGAAATCGCTATGGATCTCTAGTAATAGACTTAAAGGACGTCTATAAACCCGAAACCCCTAAACCCTAAACACTACACTAAAACCCGAAACCCTAAACCTCTAAACCCTAAACACTACACTCTGTAGACGGCAAGGAATCTCGCCTTTGTGGCCTTCCTCGTGCTCTACGACCCCAGTCAAGGCTACGCCTTCACGATTCTGATGCTGAGTGGGCTCCTCAGGAGGTTTGGGGTTTAGGGTTTGGGGTTTGCGGTTTCGGGTTTGGGTGTCCCTCCTTGCAAGTTAAGTAGACGGTGTGGGGTTCAGAGCTAGCTTACCCAGACTTTTGGAGGATCCCAGAAGTGGATCCTTCAATGGGGCTCCTGTGCAGTACCCTTCAGTCGTGTAAGGGCCCCAAATTACTTGGAGGATCGTAGGACTTAGTAAGTAAGGTTATAAGTCCCTTAATTGGGGTTATAAGTATAGTTACCCTAATTATAACCCTACTTACTAAGTCCCATGATCCTTTAAGTAGAGGTTCTACTTTCTGGATTCTGGATCCTCCCGGGTCCTCAGCTCAAGAAGACACTCATCTACTCCAAGACCCTACTTTGAGGTTGGGGTCTCGGGTTCAGGGGATGGTTAATTGAGGAGTGCACCTACACTTATGCATGATTTGCCCTAAACCCGGAACTCTTTTTGGCTTAAGAAGGTTTGGAATTTCTCTGGAAACTCGCTGCTCTGAAAGTGCGGAGGGGCCCTGACCAGGATGAGAAAGATGAGAAAGCATGCTGGCTGGACGAATCAAGCGGTGGTCGTATGTAGCGACCTTAATAATCTGATTGGAATAGGGTTTCGGGTTCCTGTATAATATAACCATATTCAGGAACCCCCAAAATAGTATTGGTCTTTCGTTAGGCCCCTATAGATGATGCACGGTAAGGTTCCTTAAGGGTTCAGGCCCCTCCAGCCACAGGGTGTTTCAGATCTGTGTGTTGGTTTAGAGGTCCTGTAAAGTGTCTAGCCATTTCTGTGTGGTTCTCGATGGCTTCGCGATCAGGGAACTTCGTAAGTGGAGTGAAAAACCTCAAAATCTGGTAGCTACGCCTTTAGCTGCTTACAGCCAGAGTGAGGCTTGGAACCAAAGAAAAGACTAGCCACGAAGTCCTAAACCCGAAAGAAACCGTCTAGAAATAGTATGTAGCAAGCCACAAGCCTGAAAAATGTCCGCGCCGCCGAATAGATCACCCTGGCGGAGTTTCCACTTAAGGAGCCCCCAAAAAACGGTATGAACCCAACCCAGGCGGCGGAGCCTTGTACTCCGAGATTCTGCAACTCTTGGGCTCTGGCATGACGCCGAAGGTGCGAGAAGATCGAACTGCACGGTTACTGAGTCCATGTGCCAACACCTCGTCGTATATTTTGGTACATTTATGGTATGATACAATGCAGGGCTTCGAGCCAGGGTTTCTTGCAAGTGTAGTACTGTCGGGTTTATAGTGTGATTGGGTGCTGGAGTTGCGGGTTGTAAAGGCGTCATAGCCCACAGAGCGCGTGAAGCGAATTCCGAAGCAGGCTGGAGTGATCCAGATGTGATGGTCTTGGATTGCAGGAGGGCCTCTGTGTGCTGTTGAGCTTCAGGGTGCTTGTATTTAGGACGTGCAAGCATGTTAGAAGGTTCCTGTCTACGTATGTATATACACATGTATATATGTATACACACACATACACTGTTCTATACTGCATCACGGAACCCGAAACATGCAATCTGCTGCAAAGCTTGCCTTGGCAGGCGATTGAGAGGAGCATCCGCCTGTGGCTGATGGACCGGGCAGCTGGCCCGAGCATGCTATGCCTTGTACGGGGCTTCAGGGGTTTAGGGGTTTCGGGGTCAATGGTTTACGGGTTTAGGGGTTTAGGGTTTAGGGGTTTAGGGGTTTAGGTTTTCGGGGTTTAGGGGTTCAGGGTTCAGGGTTTAGGGTTTAGGGGTTTAGGGGTTTAGGGTCAGGGAGCCTGATACAAAGCACTGAGGAGTGTACAAACCCTGGAAAGACGTCCAAAACCAGTAAAGCCTTGGTTGAGGTGTCTTGCTGTTCTGCCATATGAAAACCGGTCGCCTCTGGAGACCCTCTCGTACTCGTAACAGACCATTCTTTGTTAATATATACATATATACATCTATCATGTCTTCTAAACCGTATGATAAGGTTTTTTCAATGTACAACAGGATTTCGGATCGAGGGTCTCCGATTATGATCGACGGCTTCGGCTGTGGATTCGGGGAGGCGCGCATGTCACTGAGACTCTCAATTCTCGGCCATGGTCTTTTCGGGTTGTCGGGCCGGTGAGCCCGCTGGTCATGGGCAGAGCGAGGGACGTGCTGGCATGAATAGTTGGGAGACATGGAGTCCTGCTTTTCTTGTTATTTACAAAGTCCCGCATCCATGCTCGGCATGTTGATATGCCTGAGGTCCCAGCCGAGCTACATTATGTTTTCCCCGTGCAGCAGCCTTATGAGCAAGGTTGGAAGGCGTGAAAGTCAATTCCTACGTGTTCGGTACGAAGCCTAATGACTGTGGACTGAACATGCATGTTGGGTTGGATCCCTTGTCAGGTTACTTGTCGCTCCCTCCACTCCTGTACTCCGAAAACCCCTGGTCGCAGCCTCCGTGTTCCCTGTTTTTCTATTTCCCTGGCATGGCTCGACAAGTGGCAGTGTACTGGATAAACACATACATACGTAGATAAGCACATACATACCTACATAAGTACATACATACGTAGAAGAAGGCATACATATGTACAGACATGCGCACACACACACACGTACAAGCATATGTACAATAAGTACGTGCATACCTACATAAATACATCTTTCTTACCAGTGGGAGCCCTTATTGATTCTGGTACAACCATAGCATACTATACCCAAGTCCCTCTTCCAATTGTATGCGCGGCTTCGGCTTTAGAGTTTAGGTTGTAGGGTTGCGGAGTTGGGATTTAGGGCCGTGCAGGTTACGAGACATTGAGACTGCTTTTATTGGCCTCGATCCCGCGAATAACAACGCACGCTCCAGCAAGGTGAACATCGCAGAGTTCATCGCATTTGGGCTACTCGTGGAGCAATATTGAGTGAACCAACCTCAAACCTCACACTCCCCTATTGCAACCTCGCACCCTTGTTTAGGGGGCCTTTGGTTGAGGCCTCTAGGGCTTCAGGGTTTGAGACGTCACACCTCTGAGCGCCTCTCTTCCTGGCTCGAGCCCTCAGTTGAGCTTTAAACACGTATTGTCAGTATTATTGTTTCAAGGACTTAAACGCTAAACCCTAAACCATACGGAAATCATATTAAGGAGCCCAAAAAAGGTAGCCTATTGTATTAAGGACTTAAATCCCTAAACCCCAAACCGTACGGAAATCAAATGAAGGAGCCCCAACAAGGTAGGTTTTAGAGGGCTCAGGCAGGAGGGTTTAGGGTTTAAGGTTCAGGGTTTAGGGATTGAGGTTTAGGGTATACGGTTTAAGGTTCAGGGTTTACGGATTGAGGTTTAGGGTTTAGGGGTTGAGGTTTAGGGTTTAAGGCTTAGGGTTGTGGGTTTAACTTCAAAGCCTCGGCTCGATGCCCGGTCGATCCCTAAGCTCTAAACCTCAGGTTCATTTCCCTAAACCCTAAGCCCTAAACCCTCAGGTTCATTTGCGTGAGCTGCATCTTCCGCCTGATCCACGAGACTGCGGAAGGAGAGGAGCCGAACTACATCCAAGCCATGTGGGCCGAGCCTAGGCCTTTTGTTGATGGTTTCCTTCAAAGCGTACTATAGGGCTCCATAACAGGGTTTAGGGTTCAGGGGTTTAGGGTTTAGGGTTTAGGGCTCCATGGAAAGTTCTGTGGCTTAGGAATAAGGGCTTAGGATTTAGGGCTTATCGCTTACGGGCTTAAGGCTGAAGGGTTCGGGATTGTGGGGCTTTAGGGAGGGTTCTATGAAGGTCTTCAGGATCATTATAGCCATTATGGGAGGTTCAGGCCCCCACAATATGAGGGGGTCAGGGGTCCGTCTAGGATAGGTCTAGGATAGGTCAGACACCGGATTTGAACGATCTTGAACCCTTGTCTCTTTTGCAAGAATCCCTATGATATCAAGCCCTAAACCCTAAACCCCATACCCCCTAAACCCTCCATACATAACCTTCTCATGAATCAGGGCTCTACATTACAGTTCACTTGCTCTTGCCTAGGCCGAGGGGTCGCTGGGATTTTTTGAAAGAGCTGAAGCCCCAAGCCCTACAACCCTAAGCCCCATAATCCTAAACCCGATACGACTACCACCCTAAACCCCCTAAGCCTAAAGACCCTAAACCCTACAACCCTACTCCCTCAAAACTTGTCATTTGCAGAGCCTGGAGCATGTTGCGGGTCCCTCCTTCGCAACATTTGGTTTCACAATTGGGCTTCAGGCTGTAATATAGAAAACTAAATCATTACCAATACTAGTCCTTAGGGTTCCTTCTTGCAATTGGAGTATAAAGCAGCCCAAAACCTTATTCTAGTTATTAAGGCCCCTATTTTAGGCTTTGAGGGTTTGGAGTTCAGGATCCTGGTTCAGGGTTCAGGGCAAGTAGAAGAGACGGTCGTGTGTCAAGTGCGTGCATAATATAGCGCTCTGAATAATTGGTAACAGCATCCCCCCCTAACGGTTTAGGGGTTTAGGGTTTAGGGTCAATGTGGCCAAAGACCATGTGCTAATGGTTGTGTTGACTCGCCATCAAGACTGGAGCTGTCGCCCTAGGACTTTGACAGCCGAAGGCTAAGAGTAGTTCCTCAAAGAGCCTCCCCCGTTGTGCCTGGAATCCCAAGCTGCGTCTCTAAAACCCCAAGCTCTCCGGCCCTTCTCCTGGCACCCTTAGTCCCACAACCCCGAACCCTGTGACCCTACAACCCTGAAGCCTATCACACTAAGCCCTACATGGATCTCAATTCTAAGTGCCCTGGGAGCTAAGTGCGGCGTCTTCTTCATGGGCATGTCGCAGGGCGTGAGCCTGCTGAGGAGCTGTGGACGCATAGTACGGAGGTCCTGTATCTCGAGGGGTTCATAAGGCGTACATATAGTTTTTATGTGGCTTCTGGTTGACATCTGTACGGGCTGAATACAGGGCCCGGAATAATGAGTAAGTATTGCCCTTTGTCTATCTCTTGTTAGATGACATCATAATAGACTGCAAGGAGGTGGCTCTGACTGTCTAGGCGACACGGCTGGAGTAGATGAGGGCCTTGACGGTGAGATCTCGAAGACGAAGAGTGAAGAGCCGACCCTGTGCACAGAAATAATGAATGAGTAAATACAAGCATATATAAACAGATATGTGATATGTGTATATATATATATATACAATATAATATATATATATATAAATAGATTATATATAAAAGCATATATTCCGGCGAACCAGACAAAGGCGCCGGAGCCCCTGAAACGCCCTCCCGGATCGCAGGATGTCCTCGGTTTACGGACCCCTGGTGTCCATGATGGTGCCTCGGAACCTGCAGCCGCAGGTTTAGGGTTTTGAGAACGTCAGGCGGCTCTTTGATCCTAACGTAGAAGCCTTACTAAATTAGAATAGGGTTCTGGGGTATATTATTCTGTAATTGAAACAAGGAACCCCAAAAATAGGTAATGATTTAGGCCCCTATATTAGTGAGCGAGTGGCGCACCGAGAGCCCGCACCACAGCTAGTCTCCAAGCGGCAGGTTGCGGGAACTTGCCACCAGATTTCCGAACGTCAGGCTCCCTCTCAAACCCCCTAAACCCTAAACCCCAAACCCTAAACCCAAAACCCCGAACCCTAAACCCAAAACCCTCCAAGAGTTTGACTTCTCTCCCGGTTTTGAAGCAGTGCAGTTTGACCCAAGACTCCGCTCCAAAGCTGAGGCTGGTGCCAACAAGTCCGGCCCAAGAGACACAAACCCTCCAACCCTGCAATCGCTCTAAACCTCGAAAAGCAGCCCAAAAGGCACAAAACCGGCACGACCAAAGAAACACAAAAGTGCAAAGCTTGCTTGCGCAGGCCCCCTGAACTTTAAATCCTAAACTTCCTAAGCCATAAGCTTTCGGGAGTTTGGCATTTCGGGGCTGCTGTAATGTTCTTACGGAGATAGGCTCTAAGGCATTTCTCTGTTAGGGTTCAAGGGTTTAGGGTTCTGTGGGGTTTCTGGACGTTTCAGTGGTTCTTGGCTGTTTAAGAGTATGGTCATACTTGCAGGGATAAGCAGCTGCAAGTGGCTGGGGTTCCGCCTTTGAAGTTAGAAGCTTTGGTGTTAATGTAGGGGCCTTAATAATTACCTACACTGTTTTGGGAGTTCCTTGTTATAGTTATAGTATACTATGACCCCAAAACCCTACTGAAATTATCAAGGCCCCTACCTTATTCTGAAAGCGAACCTTTTAGTTTTTTGGTTTCTTGGCAGAAAGAGGTGCAGATGATCGTGGACATGATTCGATGGATTGCGCTGTTGCTGCCCATCATTGTCAGCACCTTGACACCACGAAGGTATGGTTTAGGGTTTAGGATACGAAGGTTGCGAGCTCTACAACTTACTCTAGATCCTAGACAACCCGCCTAGTTTTTCGGGCTCCTTACTCCAATCTCCTTCTATTTGATCCTTAAAATATGGTAGTTTCTTTGGTTTGAGGTAAGCCCTAAACCCGAAGTCAACGAGATCCTGCAGAGTGTGACCACAGTCGCAGTCGTGATGATGATGATGAGTCTGCCTCGTCTGAGTTTTCGAGTGAGTCGTCAGAAGGGGCCGATGGTGTTGCACAGAGTTTGCCATGCTGTGTGAGCCTTCTCCTTTGGGCTCAGTTTGGCGCGCAAGCTTTATCCAGAGCAAGCTTCGGCGAACGGAACAAAGAGCTAGTGCACCCTAAACCCTAAACCCTAAGCCCGAAACAGGAAAATATTCTTTTATCGCTGTTTTGGGGCAAGGGTTGTGGCCAGGCCGTGCCTTCGCTTCAGGCTTGGTACAGGGTTTGGGGTCTAGGAAACCCTTAAGAGTTTGGGGTTTAAAGGCGTACGGTTTCAGGGTTTAGGGGTTGAGGGTTGAAGGGTTTACGGTTTTAGAGTAAGTGGTTTAGGGCCCAAAACCCCCAAAACAGCTGGGAGTCCGTGCAGGAGTTACCTCGCAAAGCAGCAAGTGACCTTATCGCACTCTTCTTTGTAAGCCCTATCGTAACTGTCTAGGTAGCGTTATAGTAAGCAGTGGCAATACCTTTTGAGTCACCTTACAGTAGCCAGTGTCCTGGTTGAAGGGTTTAGCGCTTGTGGGACTGAGGGTTTGGTTTGGGATTCAGGTTTAGCGCGACTCCTCACGCCCCTAATCCCTAAACTAGGGTTTAGGGTTTAAAGGGTCTTGGTTCAGGGTTAGGGTTTAGGATGTAGGGTTGATAGGGTCTTGGCTCAGGGTTGTGACGGGCATGTTCCGGAACGAAAAAGTTGTGTAAATACGATGCACATACGAAATGAATACGAGCGGGAATCCAGCAGCAGCAGACAATCGAAAAACACTACAGCAGATGCAGAAATACAAAACTACCATGCCTCCGCAAAACGAATACAAGACAAGTACAAACGGGAATCTGAAATACGAGCGGCCCGCCTGGCCGGCCACCAGGCCGCCCGGCCGCCCGCCCGTACTCCAGCTCGCATTTCCTCTGGTATTCCCGCTCGTATTTCCGCTCGTATTACCCTTCATATTTCAACTCGTAATTTCTATTCAGAAGTACATACGAGCGCCGGGCAGCCGCGCGGCCGTAATCCCGGTCGCATTCCTGCTCGTACTTCCGCTCTTACATAATCTGGCGAAAAGACACGTATATCCGCTCGTATTTTCACATGGAAATTACGACGGACATACGATTATTGTACTCCATTTTGACGTCGAACACTCCACTCGTATTGTTCTCGTACTTGTCTTGTATTTTTCCCATGGTGTTCTTGTATCTGTTTTCGTCTTTTAGATTTGTATCATAATTTTTCGTGTCTAGTACATCCCAATGATTCCGGGCCGGTGCCCGTCAGAAAACTAGGGTTTAGGGTTTATAGGGTCTTGGCTCAGGGTTAGGGTTTAGGGTTTAGAGTTGTCCTACCTTGCCGTGGCCACCTAGGTCTCGTCGGCGCCTTCATCACGCTCTTCAAGCAGCGGAGGCCCTCTTCTCTAGTTTGGGTAACTAGAGCTCATGTCAGCAACGCAGGGGTTCCTAGGAGTTTCAGCTGTTGGAGGGCAGGGGCGAAGGGCTTCGGATTAGGCTATTGGGAAAAAAGCCGCTGCGACAGCGCTTGTAAGTTGTTCGCCGGGGAGTTTTTGCTAATAAAATCGGGCGTTGCTGCCACATCTGAGCATTTGTTTAAGGACTCGTTCCTGCGCTTCCAAATTTGTACAACTGTTCTGGCGACCGGGCCAGTGGCGTTTCCCAGAGAACCCCTAAACCCAAAACCCCCCTCCGAAGGAATTTGTTTTGTCTCGAAGTCGCAGACACGACATGACAGGCGCCCGAAACCGGAGGTCCAAGCTCTTAGGGAGGAGACGGTTCAGGGCCATTTTTTCAGGGTTTAGGGTTTAGGGGTTTAGGGCTTCGGGTCAATAAGGGCTTGTGCCGGTGCTGTCTTTAGTGGCGCATACGTCATAAGGTAGCTTGGCGAGCGATGCTTGAAGTCTGGAAGAGATTGGATTTCAACCCCATGCTCACGAGACAAAGATCATGAGACGGTTCGAGAAAGAAGCAACAAGGCCCACTTAGCGTCCTTGAAAAATTTTCGAAGATACACTGCTGTATAACGCCAAGTCCCCAATCTACTTCTTAAGACTTCTTGTTTGTGCTCTTCGGTGGCGTTGCTTGTGAACTTGCATTATCGCCATGGTGTTTGCCGGCCTCTCCAAACATGCAGAATCTGAGCCTGAGTTGCGTAGCGCGGTCATCCGGATCTGTCCCGCACTCCGAACTTTCGCCGCTGACGGTCCTTGGAGCCTTGAACAGTGGGCCTGAAGCTCTGCCTCTGAAAAGAGAGCCTGAACAAAGAACACGATGCCCAGTTTTAGAGAACTTTAATAAGAACACTAGGCTCAAATTTTGTGTATACACTGTTTGATTAGATAACTTTTTTCCCTGAGCTCGCAAAAAACGTAAGCACCGTCCCGAAGTTTGGAGCCCCAAAGGCGTGCTCCTGGCCTGGAAGTCCCCTGGGCCCTGAACCGTAAGATTCGGCACCCGCTTCCCTAATATAGGGGCCTTAATAGTTAGAATAGGGTTTGGGTTTAGGGTTTAGGGTTTAGGGTTTAGGGTTTAGGGTTTAGGGTTTAGGGTTTAGGGTTTAGGGTTTAGGGTGGGTCTAGGGGCCCATTATAGAACCCCCAAAACCCTATTCTAATTATTGAGGCCCCTACCACCAGGGGTTTCCTTAGCTTCAAGAAAGTCCCGCCCAGTCGCAGCAGCGGGACGGCGAACTGGGCGCAAGACACGTCTTGCGCGATGTTTCATCCCGTCTCCCGGCTGCAGAGTCGGTTGAGGGCTCAGAGTTTAGGGCTTTTTAGGGCTTTTGGTTTAGGGTTTAGGGGTTTAGGGTTTGGAGGCAGGGTTTAGGGTTTTAGGGTTCGGAAAAGCTCGCCGGTGTCAGGGCTAAGGCCTGGTAACTTGCTAGCTACACGGTTTAGGGTTTAGGGTTTAGGGCCTGGTTTAAAGGGATTTCCGCTTGGGGCTTACAGGGGTTGAGGGTAGTTTTGAGGCTTGTCATGCACAAGTCGATTGGATGCAAATGCAGGGTAGTCGACTCTCATGTGTGCATCGTGGGAATGTGCCGGCAGGCCACGCCCCTAAACCCCACAAGCACCAGAACTGAAACGATGTGGATAACAAGCAACCGAGAGACATCGTGCTTCGCAAACTCCAAGCCAGAGATCCTCAGACGTCATACAATGCGAGTAGTGAGTAATAGTCGTCGCCATCGTCGCGCTACCGCTACCGCTAGCGCTAGCACTGGCGGTGGTGGCGGTGGTGGTGGTGGTGGTGGTGGTCGTAGTCGTCGTCGTGCGCGTAGTAACAATAGACAACAGTAGTAATAGTAGTAATAGTTTATGTGGTTCGTCTTCTTACTGTTGTTATTCTGATTTTTAGTTTTGTTATTAGTATGTTTATCAGTAATATACTATTAGTATCAGTATGATTATTGGTCTTTTAGCGTTCTTTGTGTGTAGAGAGCCTGGCCCGATAGGCAGCACCAGACCGCGAAGCCAGGTAGATCCACAACTCCCTCCAAAGCGCCTTCAGTTGGCTTCGGGTTGAGGGTTTAGGGGTTTAGGGGCGTGGGTTTGGGGTGTTTAGGGTTTTCGGGTTTAGGGTTTTAAGCTTTGGGCTTAGGGTTTTATTTATCTGCTCGGAACTTGGGACCTTCGGTGCGGGAGCCGAGGCAACCGCGGATTGGTTCACTGGGGTCTTGCTGCTCTTCGAGATCCAGATCGGTACCCGGCTCTGAACCGGTTTAGGGTTTAGGCTTTAAGGGGCTTTGCTGAGTGAGGCGATTAGAGGGCGATCATAAATAGACGAATACTGATAGTACACTAACGGTACGATAGTTAGCAGTAAGGGGTCTGGGATGAAGCACAGAAGGCCCTCTGTTGCGCCCAAGTGCTCACTGTCCGGACCAGGCGTAATCCACAAGAGACTGGCAGACGTATTCCTCGTATGGATCCTGGGTTCTTCCATTTCAAGCCGTAATCCCGGCTTGCAGTGTCGCTGTGTTTCAGTCGGTTTCCGTGAAGCTCGTTTTACATGGAAGATTGGCGCGGCAAACAAGGGCTTGAAGCTCAGGCAAGGACGTGCCGTTCGATTGCCTCGAGGCGTCACCACACGCGAGCCTTGAATGAACGATTGTGGGAGCGCTGCAAAAACCAGCAGGGGATGATGCATTCTTGGAGATATGGCTTTCTTTGCGACTTTTG